TTCTTCTTCTACCTGGCAATTTCCCAGCCTTAGCCAGGGTCTGCCTTACATGTTGTGAATAATTTGGGTTTTTACGACCGGCCGCCTGCCTGACATCAACCCTCTTTGGGAATGCATTAATCAGTGATGTCTAAATACTCTTAAAAAGTACATATGACTCTGTAAGATCACATTGATACTTGCCAGGGTCAGGATCGAACCCGCGCCCTCATGTATGAGAGGCGGGCTTTTTAACTGCTAGGCCACCACTGACTAAAGATATTATTTAATATTTTAATTTATTTGTATACAATAAATCTTGAGCCTATTTTTAAACCATATTTTTGCTTAACTCTAAAGGATCGGACTAAAAAATAGCATATTTTTCTTTCTTTTTGAATCGTAACTAAAGATAAGAATGTCGAAAAACCTTTTATACTTCGGCGATCTTTTTAAAAACATCTTTAATTTTTCTTATTATCTTTGATCTTAATTGTTATCGTTGTGTATCGGAGTTCATGTTAATTCAATACTACTAAAATATGTGTTATACTTAATGTATCAACAAATTTTATACTATCAATAACAAGATGATTGTAATGTGATAGCATTATCAAACACTTCATAGTTTTAATATACATATCTAAAGTTAATTGATACTTTTAAATTAATGTATCTTTTATATGGTAAATACGGTTATAACAAAATTGAGGTTTCAAAGATGTGTCTGTCTGTCGCGTTCCGTTTGAGCTCCGAAACTGTTGGACATATTTTTTAATGGAAATTTTAACAGCATTAGATGTAAATAAAAATTTTTGTTGAGTACCACAAAAGAAATGAAACTTTTCTCAATTTCTATCGTCCCAATGAATTCATCGTAAGAAATCGTAAATAAATCAAATATTTTTAACTGATTTTAGTTAGTCATCGAGTTAAGCAGTAAAAAACTAAGGTAAACAGAGGTCGATGAACTCTGACGGACTCGTCACGATTCTATCTGTGTACGAAATACGAATCTTGTACCAAATACCATGGTACAGGCGAAAGCACAAGTGTTTCATTGTAACCGATATACTTACTAGTAATACTATCTTTATTTTAATATAACTTAATTAATAATATACCCATATATCTTAATTATTAATATACCTTCAATTTATTTCTATCAAACTACCATCCTTTCTAAATTGTGTTACGTCACATCTCTACTAATATTATAAATGCGAAAGTAACTCTAAACCACTGAACTGATTTTAATGAAATTTGGTACAGATATACAGTTGGCCTTGAGAATGAACATAGGATAGTTTTTATCCCGGACTTTTGAAAGGTTCTCTTGGAAACGCGATGTAACCGAACTCCACGGGGGCGAAGCTGCGGGCGGAAAGCTAGTATCTAATAAAATAACTGCCACCATAAATGGTAATACCACAGGCCGTTGAAAACCGCATTTGTTTTATTTTTAATTGTAGTATCATTCTACTCATGATAACCTGGCCTCAATTTAATGAAGTGATGACAGTCTATGTTTTTAAATATGTACAATGCTTCCAGAAGGAATTTAGTAGTGACTTAATGCTATACAAATTAATTTCTCATTTCCTTATATTATAAATAAACTAGCTTTCCGACCGCAGCTTCGCCCGCGTGGAGGTCGGTTACATCGCGTTTCCAAGAGAACCTTTCAAAACTCTGGGATAAAAACTATCCTATGCTCTTTCTCAAGGTCAACTCTATCTCTGTACCAAATTTCAATAAAATCAGTTCAGTGGTTTAGAAAGCGTAACAGACAGACAGACAGAGTTGCTTTCATATTTATAATATTAGTAGGGATAGTGTGTGACGATTTTCTTTACAATTCTGAGTGCATACGAAATGAAACTTATAATTTTGGGATTACTACGTGTATTTTATTATTTTAAAAACTATTACATTTCAGAAACCATGATTAGGGAAAGACGAGATGTGAATGTCTGTTAGTAAGTCTTGATATTTATCATCAACGCTTTATTAACTTTCTGACGTACCGCTGAAAGGTTTCATTTAAATGAATACTCGCGAAAGCCTTAGATCTCGTTGAGTGCATACTCTTGCTGTAAAAATCATTTACTAGAAAACACGTCACATCTTTATTTAAGATCCGGGTATAAAATTTTAAATCAATATAACTTCCTACAGCTTTTCAATCAGCGTTTGAACTACCCACTGGTACTACTCATATTTGTCCAACGCCTACACATCTGAAGCCAGTCAATAAAGCGACTATTAAAGCCCACGAATTTAAGATTTTAGAAAACAATTTCCATTACGTAATTTATATTAATGAAGTTGTTAAACCATACATTTATTGTAAAAGAATATTTAATTAAAGACCTATTGCATATAATAGAATTATAAATAAACAGAAAGAGTTCCAGTCACACGACATATCCAATTAAAACTTCATAAATTTCCTCAACAACTCGCTAATTGTTTTAACTATTTATTTAGAGTTCCTTAGAAATCAGAAAAAACGATGCAAAACTCATGACTTATAGGGAATTTTTCATGAAATCATCTCCTAAAAATCTCGTACTATCTGTATATTCCATGATTCATGAGATAAGAATTTTAACCATAATTAGTCTCATAAAAAATTGAGTTTTCCTTACTTTTTTAGCTTCGTATATTATTTTCTACATAGATCGAATAAAACAAAATCTTTTGTACTATTTAGCATAAACTATATCTTTTCTTAGGAAGTATTTGATCATGCTTATACAAATAACTTCTAGGTATCTTTGTGCTTTTTTTGAACGTTATATCAAACATCATTTATAATCTTATTAATACAATCTTTCTGTATATTTATAAGCATATATTACTCCCGTATATACTACGGTATTTGTATTACTTAGTCAGAATATTCAAGTATAAAAATTCTTAATATAAAAAGTATTGTTTCATTGCAATATTATTATTAATCAAAATATATCTCGGTAAATTTTGACAATGGGAATCATATCACATACATGTGAAATAAGTATTGTGAAATAAAAATTGTTTTATCGATTGCGATATCAGTACCTACATAACATAACCATACAGAATCTCAGTTACCTAAAAGTTTATCGACTAGTTAACACGCTATTGTTAAACACATTAATGCAAGTGCGAGATGAAAGTAACCATGACGCCATTACACAGACTTACTTCCTTACTCAAATATTTCTGATCTTAAATAATAATATAGGTAGAGAGAGGAGCTTGGACAGTGGAGGTGAGGGTTTAACGCGCGTTAGATTGGGGCATCTTACACCTACACCTGGGTCGCAAGTCCCAGTCACTGTTGAAGCTCCTTTCCTTACAACGATGGACCCGGCACATTGAATTCTAAGAGGTTTCGTAGCTTTATATATCTGAACAAACCTCAAATTCTTATTTTAAAATAACCTTAATTATACGTCCACTTTTTCATAAACCAAATGATTATGTTTAACTGGTAAATATTCGTTTGAAATTTAACCCAATATTTCTATTACTTTGTAGTGTACAGAATGATTCATACACTACGTACAGTGTCTATGCATGAATGTAAGAGGCTTGTACCTCTTGAGTGTGTTATCAAATATATTATTTCCCTCTTATTTCTCTTACGTATATTACGTATCTATATTTTATAACAATTTTATGATATACTAATGTCATAAAATATTTAAATTTTTCCACAGATATATCTAAATTATTATTAAATTGTTTCTTACATTTCTATTATATTATTATCATATTTCTCTGCTGATAATAATAATTTGACCTAAATCACTGTTACCTATTAATATGTCATTATTTATCTGAACGATGTCCCAAATTGTTTAATGATTCATTGTTTTTGTCTTTCAAAAGTACTATTACTAAAAGACTTTAAGAAGAAATAACTATACAAAATACATTGATATTATCAGGCTATTATTACACTTTTTTATATTAAATATTCTCAAACTGTTAATGATATCTAATCTAAGACTTTCGTGAGTATTCTTTTAAATGAAACTAATATTATTTGGATTCGAAAAGCTACCAAAACGTCGCGAGTATGTAGTTTTAAAATAATAAAATACGCATGTATCCAAATAATATAAGTTTAATTATTCAAGCTGTTACAAGTATACGTCACATCTGTTCAAGTAAAGGGTCTTACCTTTGTGAAGTAACAATAATACTAGGAGAACGGCATATCTCACGCTCAGATAACACAAGATAACGTTGTATACGCAGACATGCGTTCTTACTTAAACTTGGGCGTGTCGCGGCTACTACACTGACAAGTACACTAGACTTTGTTTCACTAATTAACCATAAGGGTATGAAAAGGTTCTTATAAGTTCGCTTACACTATACTATAATGAACTCTATTAATATTCCTTTAAAAAATTAACGTTTCAAATAGAAAAAGTCGTTTTATTTGAGCCGAAGAGTTATAAATATTCGAGCATAATTTATTAAACATTTCTAAGAAATCCCATCGTCTGATATACAAGGTAAATTCCTAAGGATATTACAAGTCTGGTTGTTGAGCGGTGTATTCTATAGGTGGCGCCACTGAATGGTGAATACTTAATATAGAGAAGTAGACTCCGGTCTCGTTGGATCCCGCGTCGCTTGACCGTCGGAGATTTAATGAAAGGACAATACTACTGATAAATAAGCACACTAGCTATTGCACTTATATATTGTATATATATAATTATACATTTAATACACACTGTATACTAAATAGTATCTAACTATGTATATTAAATTGTTTTACACATTTTTGTATATTGATATTTTGCCTACAAATTAGATTTAAGTACAAATAAACTATCTAACATTCTTTTAATTCAAACTAAAAATGGACTGAAGAAAAAGAGTCTAGTTTCGTTATAGCAAGTTTTTATGAATCAACCAAGTATTTTATTATTGATTTATATTATACTTGGTACAATTATAGATGATAATGTATCTAATAGTTTCCAATGTGTTCCACCAGATGGCGTAGTATAATGGAGGGCGAGTGCGCGGAGGGCTGGGTGTTGGTGCGCGTGCACGTGCCGGAGTTAAACGTGCAGAAGAGCTTGCAGTTCTCAAGAGAACAGCTCGTATGGGACGTCAAGCAGCAGTGCCTTGCCGCCTTGCCTAAGGTACGTAAACTACACATACAATAAAGAAACTTATTCACAAGACATAAGGTATATAATAGCTTAACTTGATTAACATGATTAAATTTGTTTTTCAATCGATTCATTGATCTTAAAAGAAATTGACTTATATTTTGTTAAATTTTTCTCTTAACTTCTACGACTTTCGTACGAAATAGAAGCACTAGGTATTTGATTTTCTTTAATTTCGACACTTACTACATGATTGCGTCCTCAAACTTCATACATTACGTTTTCATAAACACATTGTTACTGTAAGTAAGGATATTAAATAAAGACTTATAATTTAACACAATCCATTAAAGAAGTATAAAGTAATTTTATTAAAGCAAATCTTACAAAGATAATTTTATCTCAAAGGTATCATTTACAGTAACTACGTCCAATAAATGCCATTTTTTCTCACAACACCGCTTTAAGTCGGTCAATTGACGATCATTTGCGGATTAGCAGCTATCCGAAGACATTTTTAGACCTCAAGTGTTTAAGGAATGCGATGTATCCTTATTAAGGCTATGCAATGTCCCTAATTGACTAAATTACTTTACCTGTTTATGAGAATTCTGCGGCGATAATACCTTTTAATAATTATTCAGACAAACCATTCAAGTTATCGTTTATAAGTGAATGAGATTTTTGAAATAATGTAAGCGTCACTTAATAATAACTTTATAAGAAAGAGATCTTTCTGTCTCTAATAAATAGATACTCAAACTAATTTAACTGAAAACTATGTATATTCAATTTTTCCTATTTATATGAAATAACAATATTTTATATGTATTTTTTGAATCAAATCTACGAATGTTATGATAATTTTTGAAACCAACCGTTTGTCTAATAGCCAAGAACACATTTTTTTTATCGGAAATGGGCATAAAGTAAGTTTTAATTACTTTATTAACATCTGAATTATCAACATAAATTTTCATAAGAACATGATTATAGAAAATAAAGTAAAAACAATCCCAAATAAATAGATTATTTTTGGATTAAGTTTATTTATTTACATACACTCCATATATGCATTATTTTCTTTTATCCCTCCTCAGATATAAAATACATGAAATCAATAATTTCTAAACACCATAGTTAACCCGATTAGCTAGTTATTTGGTATCGTTCAGTTATATTTCATAATAAGACGTTCACACGTTTTTATTGAACTCTTAAAATAAAGCAATCGAATGCTTTTACTGCTTCGACGGACTTACGAAACTTCGTAAAAATGATTGACGAGGAATTTATATTTGTTTTTTGGTTATTTAAGAGTTAACTAGTGTATTTAGAATATCCCTACTAATATTATAAATGCGAAAGTAACTCTGTCTGTCTGTCTGTCTGTCTGTCTGTCTGTCTGTCTGCTACGCTTTCACGCCTAAACCACTGAACTGATTTTAATGAAATTCGGTACAGAGATAGAGTTGACCTTGAGAAAGAACATAGGATAGTTTTTATCCCAGACTTTTGAAAGGTTCTCTTGGAAACGCGATATAACCGAACTCCACGCGGCGAAGCTGCGGGCGGAAAGCTAGTTTTAAATAATTTGAAACTAGAATCATAGAATATATGTATATATTAAAAGATTACAGTATAATATCGTTATACGTAAAACTCAGCCTTTAAGTATAGAACCAATTGTGGACATTATTTCAAATGAAAATTTTAAGAAATTAAACAGTAGGTATGATTATAAGTACAATCTGAATCACTGCACAATAAGTTCATTGACCCCCAGTTGAATAAGACGTTCAATTGTGATGAATCAATTGAGATATAAATGAATATTCAAATATTCCGTCAATGGTATCGAAGTTCAATAACATTATGACAAGTTATAAATTCAAAGAAATAAGCGAAGTTTTACCTTACAAATTTCTTGAACAAATGAAAATAATAGCTGCGTTGTTAGTGAATAGACAATACTTGTAATAGTTTTGTTTTAAATATATCATATAAAATGTAAAAAAGACTTATTTTCTATACTTAAAATCAATTTCTTTTTTGTTTTTTCGGACTTTGACCTTCAAGTTAGTTAATTTCTTTTTATTTAATATTCACGCGATTTATCTTCAGACCTATTTCTAGACGTTATACCGTTTATTCCTAAAAATGTATTGTCCTATTTACTGATATAGTTATTGGTCAATAAACAAATATGGTTATCCCAACACGTTGGCAGATAGAAAATAAAACTGTATAGATATCTTGGTTTTATATATAAATCGTAAATCAGTATTTTCAATAACATTTTTTCAAGATGTTGCCGTTAGGTTGCGATAATCTTTATTGTCCTATCTTTTATAACATGAAGCATATATATTAAATGTTTTAGAAAGGAACAAGAAATATTTCTATTTTTCATAGAAGAGTCTTACTATAAATGTGGTTATAAAGGGTCAAGCTATAATAGTATTCTTTAACCACACGAGGTAGAGTGTACCTCAGTCCTCTGTTGGAGAATGGACCGTTTATATAGCTTCATACTTCGGATATCTTTGACGAAGCTCTTATGAAATAAGTCAAGGTTATTTATAGAAAACTCGAGAGACTCATGAATATTGAGAGCCGGTTTATTTGTTTCACGATCGATAACCGCTGTGGATGAGCTTGCGACGGCCCTCGAGATCTTATCTGGACCTATTAGAGAGACGGATCACCTAATATAGCTATAATGATAACATCCATTTTCCATACTTTAAAGGTATAAAGGATTTACGCTCGTTAATGTCACAATTACTTCGAACTTATTTCGTCTTTAAGAAAAATTGGTGTACTTTCTGTCTATTTAAGAATTTATTTCTTAAAATCAATCATTGATATATGATTTTTTATCAGTATTTATTCTTGGATTCTCTTATAATATTATGAAATGAATAACAATCTAACTACTAACCACATTTAATATATCAAAAGTTCTTTTTTGTGGATTTGAAGTGTAGTAAAGTCATTAAATAATAAGTGTTTGTAAAATTGGAATATTGTTCTGGATATAAAGTGATTTTATTATTATTATTATTAAAAGTAAAATTTTCGTAGGAAAAAATATTCGTTTTGCTTAAAGCCATAGAGTACGTTAGAACCTACGCGCTCGTGGGCGCGACATGCTTACGACAACCGTAAATCGCAATAAATGCTACATTAAAACATCATCTGTCCGTTGTTGAGGCGATAAATATGTCTATTTTGCAATGCTCATGCATAATATGATTTTTGCCTTGCAAATAGCCTGTTGGCAGCCCAGCCCGTAATAATAAACTCTTGGGTAAGATGTACGCGTTTTGAATTCATTGATTACTTGATATCTTTGCTAGACTACAATAGATTTATATAACACATTGTTCGTTTACTTCTTAAGCTGTCATATGTTTTATCTTGTATACTGCTAACTATTTAAGTAGCTATAAGCTTCTCAATTACTTGCTATATCTACATGTAATTTATTTCAACCATAATATACTTCAAAATATTTGGCAGATTTAATTTAATTTGATTCACCTCGATACTTCTTCATTGATGTCCATAACTATATATTATTAACGGCTAAAGTATAACTAATAACCATTATAAGTTGAACCCCTATACGTGGATCTTTTAATAGACGGTGTGGTCTCAACCTATTATTTGTTGAGGCCCCCTAGACCTCGGAAAAATCACCGCTCGTCAGTGTACTAACATACTCAACAATACAAACCAGTTTCTGTACACCGTTATATGGAAGTAATTTCTTATTCTTAAACGCAGTCCCGGTCACGCCAAACGGATCGAATGTTCGGAAGATACTCACTTGTATTACTAAGTACTGACGTATATCAGCATTGATAGACTAAGAAACAAATACCTATACTATAAAAACCTATTCCAATTACTCGTCGAAACGAGTGTATAATCTCCATAATATGTCCAATTGTGAATCCCCACTACCGTCTATATATGTGTATTGTAATCTATTATGTATGTAAATATAACAATTAATATATGTATGTATATTGTTTTCGGTGGCGTCATCGGCATCTCCAGGTGGCCACTTGGTATCGGGTATGTCATTATTTATCTCACTGTCACCCCGTCTTAAAACCTGCATGAATCAGTTGTGATTCAAAACCTATACAGTTGAATCATTATAAACCGATGCATGATTTTCTTGCATGGAATCCATAAAACGTGACTCGATGGATTTAAATCCCGCCGTAATAATGCATCTCGCTTGTTTATTTATTTAATAAATAAATAATGAATTTGATTATTAAAAGTGAAATGCATTATAATGTGTACCAAATTATATGTTGTCCGGATAATAATAGTTGAAAACAACCAATATTATATTATAATTTTTATATGTGTTATAAAAAAATCTTATTTTTAGCGTTCGTCATATTTAAAAACTACATTTAATGTTTTATGTAACAGCATGTTTTGTGTCCCAGTTCGGGCGCCAAATATCTATAACACTTCCTCATACTGTTGGAAATACTTTTAAATATAATTGAGTGTATTTCTGTGTTAAATTTTTATAGAATGTAACAATAGTGTAACATTCTAGTCGATATGGTTCTCACATTACGCTCTGGTTATTAAGGCATATCGATGTAATAACGTGAGTTGCGGAACAAAAAAACTTACGATGCGTGTGTGCCCTACATACAAGAATAGCACTAGTGCATCTGAGTGTGCTTTGAATCCTTTACCCGGGGTTAGGTATTGTTCGAACTAGGTTACGTTCCGCTAGGTATTTCTAAGGTTTTAAAAAATATACTATATATATGATAATGATGTTTTTATACGACTTTTGGTAGAATAAAAAAGTCTTAATAAAAATAAACAAAAATATATATCAACTCTTAGTAGCGTAGTACATTAGTGCAAGTTGTTTTTCCTTAAGCACTGATTAATGCCATAAAAACCGGTTTCTCAACTTGTTTGTCGTCTATATTAATAAATGATTTACAATTTCCATTCTCACATTACTTATTAACTTTATATATATGAATTTTAAACCGAAATGTCTTTACGGAGGGAAAGTCAAATATGCTGTTATCCTTGAGATTTTTAATTCACTATATTCAAGTAGGAAAGGTCTGAATAGTTTATAATAAATTACTACTTTACGTCGCTCTTATACTTGTTTTACATTTCCTCAATATATTTATAGGACCCCTGGTCCTATATGTAAGTATACTGTATATTGTATAACTGGTCACTGGCTCACTACTACCCCGCCTAGAGCGCAGGCGCAGGTCACCGTTCTGCTCCGCGCTAGTTGTGACACTGCCGAACGCATGCCGCCCTCTCTAGTGGGGTACGTAAGACAGTGTATTATATCTATTGTATAGATACATACACTACAATACTAAAATATACTAAATTAATTTAGTTCTTGTTTTATTTCGTAGGATGACATCCACTCAATAAAATCTAAGGTGTTTTAATATTGAATATTCAATAGTAAAGATAATCCGGTCAAGGCAACACTTACAGAAGTTCTGTTATTATCTATTATTAATGAAATTAATTTATTCCAAACTGTTCTGCTTATAAAGGTCTGATGGTTTAATTTATTTGGTTTATGTTAACGATGGAGGTTATACGACTTGGATGTATTACTTAAGGAAATTATTACGACCTTGCGATGCAAATTATTTTTTTCCATACGTAGATATGTGTGTATAAAAAAGACAAAGGGTTTCTGATAGTAAGTTTTTTTACATACTTATTTAAAAAACATCATGCAGTTAGTGTCACTGATAATTAATTTATGTAGTTTCTTAATGATTGTTCTAATCTTCAAGATGATGCGGCTAATGAGACGATATAAAACTTCTAATTTCTTTTCCTAATCTATTAAATCCCGTAAGGACAGTTAAAGTACAGAGCCAATTATCTGTAACAATGTTCAAGGTTTACTGCTTAAAGGAGATCGCTGTGGTGATTTTAATTTAAACTAAGAGTATAAGACAATCTTTTACTTCATCAGTACTGCAACTTGTCTCTAAATATACTTTTCAATGTTATTCGTATAAAAATTCTAGTTATTTTTTAAGAAAAGTCTTATAAATGATTGTAGAAGGAACTTATATAAATTAATGAAAATCAATATCAAATAACAGAAGTATCGGATTATATAGATATTGAATTATAGTAAATATATCCGACACACGGAGTCGGATTTCAGGGGCGATGAAGTTTAAAATCAAGATTCACATACACTTGAAGTATTTACACTATAGGTTTCATAGAAATAAAGATATCACTAACTGAATCGTAAGTAATATACTAGGAAAATAAGATGACTAAAATACAAGGAAGGATAGTTGTTAGTACATTGATGTATCAAGACAGTTTTTGATTTTTTTAAGCTCCAATCAGCGTTGCATAACCCCGTCCTCATATCCTCATTTCGAACCAGAAATACTTGAAGCGTTAAAGTTTATTTGCTTCGTTTAAATTCAGCCCTGATTATTACATGAACATGTCGCAACCCAGATACAAAAATTGCTTTTTGCACTCCTTCATTAATTTGTTTCGAGAAAACTAAACAATATATTCAGTAATTTGCTCGATACAATTTACATTCCCGCTACTTAATTTGCAAGTCGCATACAATTTTATCATAACACTTCATTACATACATAACCATCGATGCTTATTCAAAGAACGTTCGTGGGATAAAGGCAATTAAATCATCAATGTATTAAAACTAATTACGTATAGGTAATGTTTTACCGAAGTACAAAGTAATTAGTAAGCCGTATTACTCAGTTATAGTACACGTGGGTGGAATACAAAACACTGGAAAGATTTATTTGTTACTATATATTTAATTCTCAAGGACCGTCGTTAGATGAAGATTACTTTGTTATAGCAAAATATTAATTTATTTTTAGATGATTCTATAATAAAGTGGTTTTCGGAGATCACTCCAGATTAATGCCGACAATAATTAATTATTTCGTGAAGTATCCAACGTTCATTTTAAATAAAAGCAGTAAGGACAGGACTACCCTCATTTATATACGTCGTCAAGCAATTAAATGGTCTTAGAAAACTTAATCGGATTTACTCTGGGGACATTCAAATTTTTCCTTACAAAAAATATCTTTATTAAAATACCGAATACTTACTTACTTAAATTATATTAATATTCGTCATCAGCCTATCAGAGCCCACTGCTGAGCAAAGGCCTCTTCTCACACCGAGAAGGTTTGAGCATTAATCACCACGCTTGCTTAAGGCGGGTTGGTGATTTCAAACTTATTATTGTGAAATTATAAGTCCAGGTTTCATTACGATGTTTTCCTTCACCATATATCAGTGGTGTCTAAATATTCTTAGAAAGTACGTATGACTCGTAAAAATCACATTGGTACTTGCCAGGATCGAACCCGCGCCCTTATTCTTGAGAGGCGGCCCTAAACCACTAGGCCACCACCGACTTATAATAATATAATTCAGTATTAAACTAAAAAACTTCCTTTCCTGCCTCTCATACAGCATGATATAAAAACAATTTTCATTCTAGAACTTACCACATATAATATGTTACCTTGACTTTTGTAATCAGAAGGTATATTTAACATCAGCATCAACTTAATCATGTTGAGACATGTTTATAGAAATAATGGATTGCGTCACAGTTATGACGTCATCAGCTAAGAAAACTAAACGTATATTGCATCTTTACATATATGTAAATTTAATAATATACAGTATTTTGCGGAAAGAAAAATTATTGAAGATGAAATTCCATTCAAGTTTCAAAGGATATCCATAAGATACTTTATAAGTCACTCATAACGAATATTTATTTTGGCTTCCTATAAGAACTTCGGAATTATTTGGTAGAAAATATACATATGGTGTTTCTATTTTCATTCAAAATATGCGAACTAAAGAGTGAAGAGCGAAGGCAGGTTTATAAATGTATACGTAGAGTGAACGGTTGAACATCCTGTATAAGGTGGATCGAGACTTTAATTTAATTTTCGTAATGCACTGCTTAGCTTTACTCGGGACTGAGTTAATTCAAGTAGCGGTAGTGTACAGAATATCTTAATACAGTATTCAAATACACACACATACACACACACACACACACATACACAAACACACACACACACACACACAAACAATTCTCATAATCATTGCAACTTAAAAATTACCTTTATTTTATTTACCTGTCATATCAGATCAAACTAATTTAGTTACCTGTTGTAGATGACCCTTGTTCTAAGAAGTATCAGGTAAGAAATGTGGATATAAAAATAAGTTAATTGATATTTAATATCCGTCTTTATAACAACAGTTGGTAGGTAAATTGCATAATAATAATTTATAAGAATTCTTCATATATTTCCTGGTTGTAATTAATAATAATATTACTTGAGAATTTATATTTTTATTCATATCTTTTTTATAAGAGTATCATAATTAAATCTATTTTAGGCGAAGTCTTTGTCAATGAAAGCGAATAATTATTATTAGAACGAGTGGATCGTCTCCTTGGATTTTAAATCAAGGTTACCAGATATAATAAATTTATTTTATAAAGATAGAAGACATTGAATAATAAATCTTTAAGATTTTAAATTTTTTACTACATCCTTTACAGTATTAGAAAATTACGTCACCGATTCGTAAATTTCGAAGTAAATCAATATTTGTTTAAGAGCTGTGTAATAGTAATCTACTCATACACAATGTTGCATTCTTTTAAAACTGAACTTTAATACGACGAGATAAGGTTGAAATGGTCTGGTTTAATTGTATTTGTTAAAAGCTTAAAGCCGCGTCGCCTCAGCACTGCAAACAGATTAAAACTTAAGTTTGCCGACTTATTTTAATCTAGGTGGTCTACATACTTTTTAAATACAACGCAATTGATACTGTGATTACGAATTTATATTTGAATGTACGTTAAATTAATGTTTTAAGCCTTAAATAATTTCTTATTATACCGGAGTACCGAAGTCTACCGAAGAGGTAGTCTGTGCAGGTATGCCTGTGCAGGTCAACCAAACAATGGTAGCGTTCAAAAAACT